ACTGGACCAATGAGCAGCATCACAATAAATGGAGAGAAGATTGAGGTTGTCTAGGAATTCACGTTGCTTGGTTCTACAATCGATGCCAATGGAAGCAGCAGTCAGGACATTAGATGACATGTAGCATTGGGAAAGTCAACTGTGAGGGAACTGTTTCAAGTGCTGAGGAGCAAGGATATCTCCTTGAGGACTAAGGTGCGCCTGACACAACAACAACAATAATCAAGGTCATATTTTGGTTCTCATGGATTTTTTTTAGTTGACTTCAGCTTCAAGTTGAACTTGTATTTGAGCAATTGATGGTCTGCTCCACAGTCAACTCCTGGCCTTGTTTTGGCTGAAGGTATAGAGTTTCTCCTTCACCTCTTTCCACAGATGTAGTCATCTGATTCCTGTGTACTCCATCTGGCAAAGTCCACGTGTATAGCCACTGTTTGTGTTGTTGAAAAAAAGGTATTTATAATGAATAAGTCATTGGTCTTTCAAAATTCTATCATGCTATCATGCTATCTCCAGTGCTATTTCTATCACCAAGGCCATATTTTCCAACTACCGCTGATTCTTCTTTGTTTCCAACTTTTGCATTCCAATCACCAGTGATAATCAACACATCTTGATTGCACGTTTGGTCAATTTCAGACTGCAGAAGTTGATAAAAAATCTTCAATTTCCTCATCTTTGGCTTTGATGTTTGGTGCATAAATTTGAATAATAGTAGTATTAACTAACTGGTCTTCCTTGTGGACATATGTATATTATCTTATTACTGACAGCATTGTAGTTCATAATAGACCTTTATACATTCTTTGTGACAATGAATGACACACCCTTCCTTTTCAATTTGTAATTCTTTGCATAGTAGGTTATATGGTTGTCTGATTCAAAATGGCCAGAACCAGTCTATTTCAGCTCAGTAATGCCTGGGATATCGATATTTATGCATTCCATTTCATTTTTGACAACTTCCAATTTTTGTAGATTCATACTTTATACATTCCATGTTCTGATTATTAATGGATGTTTACAGATATTTCTTCCCATTTTGAGTCATGCCACATCAGCAAATGAAAGTCCTGAAAGCTTTCCTCAGTCCACATCATTAAGGTTGGCTCCACTCTGAGGAGGCAGCTCTTCCTTAGTCATATTTTGAATGTCTTCTGAACTGAGGGGCTCATCTTCTGGAACTATCTCAAACAATGTTTCAGGGCTATTCACAAAGTTTTCCAGTAATATATCAGACATTGTTTCACTGCTATTCATAAAGCTTTCACCAGCCAATTCTTTGAGAAGTGGATGGCCCCTTCCCTCTTCTGAGTCTGTCTTAGTCTGAAAACTCTCCTGAAACCTGCCCACCATGGGTGACCCTGATGGTATTTGATGATTCCTCTTGCACTGTCCAAAGCAGTTACTTCCTGCTCTGTGGTGCCTTAAAAAACAAAAACAAGCTGACTGTCATAGAGTTGATTCCAAAACATAGCGACCCCAATTGGGTTTCTGAGGCTGTAAATCTTTACAGAAGTAGATTGCCCCATTTTCCTTCGCAGCACAGCTGGTGGGTTTGAACCACTGGCCTGCTAGTTAGCAGCCAAATGCCTTATCCACTATGCCACCAGAACTCCTGTGGTTCTTTAGCTCCTTGAAAACATTTGTTGATATATCTAATGCCCTGATTAGATTATGAATATCTTGGAGACACAAACTCTATCTTGTCATTTTTAGCACAGTCTTTGGACACATTGATATTCAATAATTGTTTGTTGAATAAATGAGTGAACAAAAAAGCCATACTTTTTTTTTTTTCCTAAATGTTTTTGAACACTTTATAACTTCAGCTTCTATAACATTTTGGAGTAATTATTTTCAAAAGTTCATTTATTTATCTCTATTTTAGCGTTTTAGATCTTCATATTGTACTCTAGAAACTTGGCTTAGGGGATTGTGTCAGGAAGTCTTGAGTATTACAAAATTTTAGAAACATCCTCGAAACTCTCAGGAACTTGTTAAAGCTGGATAGTGGTAAAGATCTATCAAGTATTCACTCATTCCTTTAAGAAATACTTACTGAAAATTCACTAGCTATAAATTAGTGTATGACTTAGTAGCAAATTTGGGATTCAAGCTCAGGTCTCATTCCTAGTTCAGTGCTCTTCTTTTGACATGGACAAGCCATTAAATCAGGGCTATCCCCACCCATGAGGAGTTTGGAGACTAGTACATAATAATAGCCAACACATATCAGGAATGTGGCATTATTCTAAGTTTTTTATATAATACAAATTTGTTGGTAGGTGCCATCCAGTCAATTTTGACTCATAGTGACCCCATGGTACAGAGTAGAACTGCTCCATAGGGTTTTCTAGGCTGTAATCTTTACAGAAGGAGCCCTAGTGGTGCAAAGGTTAAGCACTCAGCTGCTAACTGAAAGGTCAGCATTTCAAACCCACCAGCTTCTTGGTGGGAGAAAAGACCTGGAGATCTGCTCCAGTAAAGATTACAGCCTAGAAAACCCTCTGGGTCAGTCCTACTCTGTCCTACGGAGTCTCTGTGGGTTGGAATAGACTCAAGGACACATAACAACCACAACAATGATGATCTTTACAGGTCTCTATCCTGCAGTGCTGCTCAGTGGGTTCAGATTACCAACCTTTTGATTAGGAGCCAATGGCTCCTAATCTGTCCCATCACCAAAGCTCCTTATTATACAGATTAACCCCTTTAATTCTCACTTATGAGGTTGATTCTATTACTATTTCCATGTCACAAAAGAAGTAACTGAGGAGCATAAAGGTGAAATAATTTCCTCATGGCCACCCAGCTAATAAATGCTAGAACCAGAATTTTAAGCCAGGCTGTCTGGTGCTAGAATCACTGAAATTGACCATCACACAATATTGCCTTCAATACACAATTTTGCCCACTCACACTGTTGGCTCTTCTGGCTCCAAGTCCCCTGTACTTCCAAAACTCTGGATCCAGAACCTGAGGGGACCATTTTAAATGGCATTTTCACTGAGCCTGATTTAATTAATCAATTATAATTTCCTCAGATTCATTTATATTCATTTCCTGAGCCATTTGCACACTCAGTACCCTTCAGGCCGCTAAATCAACTCTAAAGAAACCAAGTGAAAAGTTTAAGCACTTTCCATAACGCTTGCCCTGAGTTAGCCTGGCACAGACCTGGATCTTCTTGGGCATGTCCCTTGAGTGCCATGAGCAGTGGAATTAGAAGCTGGAACATGCTCTTTTCATTTCAGTCCAGAACTGTCAAAACTTTGCCTCTGGCCAAAGCTGATAAAATGCCAGCTGCAGCTGATGAAATGCCAGCTGTAGATGCTTCAGGTAGGGCCATCACAAATGCATGGGCAGACCTGGTCCTGAGTGACATCACAGTAAACCTGGGCTTAAGAGAGGAAACTGGGGACACAGGTCACTCTAGCTTAGCTGAGTCTGCACAGCCCACCCTTTCACTGTCTTGTGTTGATTCTGAGGCTGCTGGTGCTATGAGTTGCTGTCTAGTCCTATCTGACTCCTGGTGGCCCCATATACAACAGAACAAAATGTTGCCTTCTCTGTCATTTTCACAGTTGTTGGCATGCTTGAGTCCTACTGTTGCAACCACTACAGATTTTGAGTGCTTTCCAGCCTAGTGAGGTTATCTTCCAGCCCTGTATTGAATAATATTCTTATTGGGATTCATAGAGCTTTCACTGGCTAATTTTTGGAAGTGAATTGCCAAGCCTTTCTTCCTAGTCTATCTTAGTCTAGAAGGCCCTGTGAAACCTGTCCATCATAGGTGACCCTGCTGATATTTGAAATATCAGTGGCATAGCTTACAGCATCACAGCAACATGTAAGCCACCACAGTACAACAAACTGGCAGGTGCAGAGTTAATTCTGCAGTGATTGCTAAAGGAACACCCCCTAAAGGGCTATGTCAGGCTAATCTAGGTAGTTGATGAACATTTGAGCTCAACCGTTTGTCTGCATACTCACCTCCCACACGAGCCTCAACATCTCGAAGAGACATATATTCTAGTGTCTGTTCAGGATTTAAGAGATTTGGGTCTTTGGGAAGCCTTTTGCATTCCCTGGAACCAGATTCTAAAAAGCCTTATATGGTTTTTAGGAGATTTGGAAGTTATCATGAGGTTAATGTGGAGAGGGAAAGGCTGAGTGGAACTAAATGGGGTCACATGCTCACATTTGCATTAAAAGATCACTCTGGGTAAAACATGGAGATAATTTTAGGGAGGATGAAACTAGGAAAAAGAAAAGCAATTTAGAAAGTGGCTGCCACAACACAGATGAGAGGAAATAGTTGTCTAATATAGGAAAGAAGTGTGGGGATACAGAGATATAGAAAGAATCCAAGGATACTAATGAGGTTGAATGGAGTGTCTGGATGGTTCAAATGGTTAATACGCTTGACTGCTAACTGAAAGGTTGAAGGTTCGAGTCCACAAGAGGTACCTTGGAAGAAAGCTCTAAAAAATCAGCATTAAAACTCTTGAAGAGCATAGTTTGACATGCATGGGGTCACCTTGAGTCAGAGCTGACTCAAGGGCAACTAGGAAACTTTGGTTTACTGGGAAGAGGTCAAATATAGAGGCATTGATGATTGATTGGATGCACAGGATGAGTAGGTAGGTACAAACAGAGGTCTGAAACTCAGGGGAGAGTTTTTGAGTAGAAATATCAGTTGGTGAGTCATCAGCATATTGAAGCCATGTGAATGTATGAGATTGCCCAGGGGGAGTGGGTGAAGAGAGAAGCAAAAGGGCCTGAGACTGAGCCCTGGAGAACTCCCAGCATTTACAGGTCATAACAAGGAGGTGGAGCTGCAAAAGGAAGCTGGCAAGAGCCAGAGGAGTGTGAGGAAAACCAGGGCAGTGGGTGGCATGGGCAAACAGGGGACAAGAGTGTTCCCAGGAAGAGAGATGCCTCCTGTTCAAGCCTAATCCTTTCACACGTGCTTTGAGTCCCACCCCTCTCACCTCCTCAGGAATCTGATGCTATTGCATCACCCCTCTCTCTCTCTCTCTCATCTTCAGTGTCCCCTCTTCTTACACACTCTCCTCATCAGCATGCCTTACTACCTTCAAAATAAACAAGCAAAAAGCCCAATGCCCTCCCTCTTTCTTGCATTACCTTCCTGCTGTCACCCTATCTCCTCTCATTCAGAGTCACAGTGCTACTCCTTGCCATCAAGTCAAATCTCATAGCTACCTACAGGACTGTTACCTGCAGGAGCAGCATGGCCATAGAGCCAGGTCAATTGAGTCTGAATCCTGGCATGAATTATCAGTCACAGTGTGATCTTGATTTCTTATCTATAAAATGGGGTATGGGGCTAACTTGGTCTAGCTCACAGGATTATTCTGAGGATTAAATGTGATGGTAAATACAAAAGCCTTGTCACCAGAATAAATCAGCACTCTGCCATTCTTAGTGTTCCTGGTGTCTGATTTGGAACCCTAGAGGATTAAATGGGAAGATGACCTCCAAAATCCTGCATAGCTGAGACAAGTCTATGACTGTGTACTGTTGCTGACAGAAAATGCAATCTCAATGGTGCAAGTAGTAAACTGGGCAGCATAACATCATGGTCATTATCACAGCACACATTTTATGGATTACTTAGAATGTCACAATCACTTGGTCACAGCTGATCCTCATGTCAACCCTAGGAAGTAGGTCCTGTTATTAAACATTTTTAGAGATAAGTAAAACTCTAAGATATTGAATAACCTTTCCTAGGCCCTAAACTGGGAAACTGCCAAGCCAGGGTTTTAAGCTAAGTATGTCTGACTCTAGAACCCACATTCTAAAACATGCAAACCACCTCCTAAATAATGCAATACCATATAAGCAGACTGACAACATTTGCGAGTAGCAAGACCCTGAGTGAACATCATAGAGAAGACAAGATGTATCTTTCCAAAGCCACTGGCCTTTGCCCTTGCTGGAATTTGGCCAGGTCCTTGCACAAATACAGACAACGTGATGACAAATGGCTTTCATTTGGTCAGTTGGTATTAACTGCCTAAATGGCTACATAGGAAAAGATTCTGAGACCAAATCTTGATTCAGCACGAATGAGTTATTATCAATTAGCCACATCTGTCATGAGAGCAAGGGGAAAGAGGGAAGTCAAGGCAGTTGTACCAGATGTTGTCACCTGCAATAGGTGACTGCCTTACAGTGGACTTGCTCCTACTTGTATTACTTAAGGAATTTTCCACAGGTGCTGTTCGGCAAACTATTGTCAGTGTAGAAATCATGCCACTTCAGCCAGGCCTTTCCCACTTGTCCTAAAGAGAAACTTTGCAACAAAGGCAATGAGGGATGGAATGGGTAATATGAGTGCTATGTTTAAACAGGTACAATGCATAAGCTGTGATCAAAACAGCTGTATGCTTGTCTCCTACTATCCTTTAAACTTCATTCAGTGGGGATGATTTATCCTGCCCAGATAAAATACACAAACTGGACTGTGGCTTTTTTGAATATTATCATAGGTAATAATCCTATAATCACTTACATCACAAGCCCAGTTTCAATTTACCAGCTGCTGTTGAGTGAGTTCTGACTCAAGGCTACCTCGTGTGTATCAGAATAGAACTTCATTCCATAGGGTTTTTAATGGCTGATTTCTCAGAAGTAGATAGCCAAGCCTTTCTTCCAAGGTGCCTCTAACATTTCAGTTAGCTCTTTGCCCCACCTATGAACTCCAGTTTCAATTTTAGTATTAGAGTACTAAAACCCTAGTAACCCTCCAAACTCTGAATCTGACGCAGCGTGAAATCTCCTTCTCCAGGTTGGGCCCAATTAGGTGAGCAGCCAGCACCATGAAAAGGAATGTGATCCTTTTCTCCACTCTGCCTCTGCTCACTTTCCCTTAACTCCAGCTGCTGTTTTGCTCCCGTCGAGGATCAAAATTGAAAGAAGAGCATAGGTGAAGGTTCATGTCTTAGTCTGGGTTCTCTAGAGGAGCAAAATCAGTGAAGTGCATCTGTAACTATATAGAGTTTTACTTCAAGGAAATGGCCCATGCAATTGTGAAGGCTGGCAAGTCCCAAATCCTTGGATCAGGTCACATTCTGCTCTTTCTCACCTTAAGAATCTGGTGGTATATCCCCAGTCTCTTTTTTGGACTTCACAAGAGGTCCCTCTTTACAACCATTTTAGAAAAAGTGGAAGAAAAACTAGTCTGCATAATCCCAGTGTGAGTCCTCCAGATCATAGCCCATTGTGACATCACCAGGATGTGGTTATAAAAATGAAGCCTTTGTCAGTGTCATTTCCTCCACCCTGGCCTCCATTACCTACCTCCCAGCTAGCCCAGAAGCAAAATCAAGGGTCATGCTCCTGTTATCAGTTTTGCTGCTAATATCACAAGCCAAGAGTGAACGTCTGGGTATGTGGACTTCTCTCCCAGTGGCCAGAGCAGTAATCACAGTAGGGGCTGGGGATGACAACCACCTTCTTCACCACCTCCCATCCAGTCAGTAATGAGCATTGGGAACAAAAGGGAGAACGAGAGTTGGATAGCTAGCTCATTAATTAGTTATTACTAAGAGAGCAACTCACAAGAGAACAAGAAGAGTAGCTTTGTGTTCTTGCACACATTTCTCCTTGAAACTGCATCCCTTTCTTCTCCTATATTTCTCAATCCAAGTTTGACCTGTCAGACCTTGAGTTTTGGTTTTGAAACCTAAGACTTCTTCCTTGAATGAATAACAAAGTGACCAGGAACATATGTCCAGAATTAGTTGAGCATCTGTCTGCTGACTCAAAGGGAGAAATGTATGGATGATGGGAGTTGTGACAAACCTTCTCATGAACTGGAGACACAGAGCAAAGGTGAACCTCAGCACATCCATGTGTGCCCACAGGCAGAAGAATGGAGTTTCTTTCTTAACAGGAGACAGAGGCTGGAAGGAAGCTGGGATATGGACAAAGTACTTTCCCACCTTTTATATCCACCACACTGTGAGGTTTCTGCTATTCATTCCACATTATGAATGAGGAACACTGAGCCATATAGTGGTTGACAATTTTCCCAAAGTCACATAGCCTGGAAATAGTAGCACTAGGATTTATACAAGATCTGACTTGAAAGTCCATGCTTCCTTCCCTCTGCACACTGCCTCATGTATAGAATATAGCCTTTTCAATTGGCATTCTTCAACGTGGCTTTGAGCTGGTGTGGTGTTGGGGGGAGATGTTGTATAGTGTGAGTAGAGAATCAGCAGAACAATAGGTACAATTGTGTTCAATCAAAGGAGGCAAATGATCGCTTAGATTGCTTCTCACCTATTTCTACACTGCCTCAATCATTGTTTAGAGATTTTATGCTCTATAATTTAAAAGCCCATAATGTTCAACATTGGTGCTGTCATTGCTCTTCCAAAAACCAAATCCATTGCTGTCAAGTCAATTCCAACTCAGTGACCCCATAGGAGAGAGGAGAACAGCCCTGTTTCCAAGGCTGTAATCCTTATGGAAGCAGATTGTCACATTTCTCTCCTGTAGAGTAGCTGATAGGTTCAGACCACTGACTTCTCGGTTAGTAGCCAACACTTTAACCTCTGCACCACCAGGTTGTTCTCAGAACTTTAAAAAAAAAAAAAAAAATGGAGAATGGTCCTAGCTGCAAGTCTCATAGGGATTTTGGTCCAAAATGGATATAAGAAATTCTGATAGCTAATATAGATCAAGGATTTCCTTTGGGTCAAGTGCTATGTTGGGCATTTTAACATTTACTATCTCATTTAAGCCTGACATCAGTTTTAGACTGTAGGTATTATTTTATGCCCATTTTGGAAATAAAGAAGCTGAAGATAAGATAGGATAAATAACTTTTGCAAAATCATTCATTAAATAAGCAATTGGGCCAAGTTCAGACTTAGGCTGTGGACCCTTGAGCCTGTGCTTTAGCAAAAATCATATTCTGCATTTCAGAGAAAGAGTGCCCCACAACACCTACCCATCATCTGATCAAGCTCTTAGTCACTCTTAATATATGGGCATATTTTCTTCTATATTCGTAAGTCCAAATTTTTAACTTAATCAAAATCACAAGTTTATATATGTTCTTATATGTGATTTTTATCTTGACTTTTTCTCTGAATATTATATCATAAGCATTTTCCCACATCACTGAAAAGTCCCCAGAAGCATAATTTTCATGGCTGAACAATAGCTCTTGATGTGAATGTGACTTAATTTATTTAATCATAACATTTAGATTGTCTTCAATTTGTTATTGAAGCAAATATTACTACACTGAACATGTTTAGATATAAATATTTGCTGCATATCAGATTTTTCCCTTAGGATAAGTTCCGTGAGAGGAATTATCATATCGAGATGACTTTATTTTTTAATGCCTCCTCCTGACAGGTATGTTTCCAGGCACTGAGACATGGTGTCAACAAAACAGGCATACTTCTTGCCCTCATAGAGCTTACACCCTAGGGTCAGAGCCAGGCAAAAACAGATCAACAAACTATAATTTAACACAGTGGTAAAGCAATGAAGACACAAAATGCAGGGCAAAGATAAAGAGTGGCCAGAAAGAAAGAAATAACAAAGGTCAGAATGGTGATGAATGAAATAGAGACTAGGAAAACAACAAGAGAAGTAAATTAGAAGTCAGTTCTTTGAAAGTATATAAAAAAATGACAAATGTTAAGCTAAATAGACAAAAGAGAGAAGATGCAAATAACTAAAATCAGAAATTAAAGTGGTTGGGTCATTACTATTGGCTCTACAGAAATAAGAAGACTTATAAGAGAATACTATAACTAATGGATACAAATAAATTAGATAATCTATATGCAAATGACAAATTCCTAGAAACATAAATAACCTAAATTACCTAAAGAAGAAATAAGAAATCTCAACAGACCCATAACAATTGAAGAAATTGAATCATCAGAAGTGTACCAAAGTCAACTGGCATAACTTAATCCACAAAGACAATGTTTTACATCCTAGTTTGGTGAGTAGCAACTAGAGTCTTAAAAGCTTGTGAGTGGCCATCTAAGGGTCAACTATTGGTCTCTCCCCATCTGAAGCAAAAAGAGTGGAAGAAGTCAAAAATATATGGTAACAATTAGTCCAAAGGAATATTAGACCACGTGAACCTCAGCCTCCAAAATCCTGAGACCAGGCATTGGTCAATTCTGCTGCAAAAAAAAACTTTTTTAAAATGTTAAAAAGCTAAGATATCACTTTGACAACTAAGGTGCACATGACCCAAGCTATGGGATTTTCAGTCTCCTCATATTCTTGTGAAAATTAGACAATAAATAAGGAAGACTGAAGAACTGATGCATTTGAATTATGGTGTTGCAAGGACTAATGAATATACCATGGACCACCAGAAGAATGATCAAATGTCTTGGAAGAAGTACAGTCAGAATTCTTAGAAGTGAGGATGGTGAGACTTCATCTCAAGTACTTTGGACATGTTGTCAGAAAGAACCAGTCCTTGGAAAAGGACATCATGCTTGGTAAAAGTAGAGGGTCAACCGAAAAAAAAAGGGGGGGTGGGGAGAAATTGAATCAGTAATCAAAACTCTCCCAAGAAAGAAAGTCCTGGACTATATGGCTTCACTGGGCAGTTCTTCCAAACATTTACAGAACAATTAGCACCAGTCTTTCTTAAATTCATCAGAAAATAGGAGTAATACTTCCTAAATCATTATTTAAAGCTAGCATTACCTTAATACCAAAGATACCACAAGAAAAGAAAACCACAGAGCAATATCCTTTATGAGTATATGTGTAAAAATTCTCAACAAAATACTAGAAAACCAAATCAGTATATATATAAGTACGGTGAAAGTTTACAACCCTGAGGCACATCTTTCCAAATTTTAAACCATGCAGTATCCCCTTGGTGTTTTTAAATGACTGCCTCTTTGTCTATGTACATATTCCTCATGAGCACAATTAAGTGTTCTGGAATTACGACTCTTTGCAGTGTTATCCATAATTTGTTATGATCCACACAGTCAAATATCTTTTCATGTTCAATAAAACAAAGATAAACATCTTTCTGATATTCCTTGCTTTTAGCCAAGATCCACTTGACATAAGCATTGATATCCCTTGTTCCACGTCCTCTTCTGAAACCAGTTTGAATGTCTAGTAGTTCCCTGTTGACAGACTGCTGTAATCATTTCTAATTATTTTCCATAAAATTTTACTTTCATGTGATATTAATGATATTACTTGATAATTTCTACATTCTGTTGGATCATCTTTCTTTAATGGGTGCAAATAGGGATCTCTTCCAATCAGTTGGCCAGTAGCTATCTTCCAAATTTCTTGGCATAGATGAGTAATTGCCTCCAGTGCTGCATCCATTTGTTGAAACATTTCAGCGGGTGTGTCATCAATTCCTGGAGCCTTGTTTTTCACCAATACCATCAGTACAGCTTGGATTTCTTTCAATGCCATTGGCTCTTGATCATATGCTACCTCCTGAAATAGTTGAACATCGACCAATTCTTTTTGGTCCAGTGACTGTGTATTCCTTCTATATTCTTTTGATGCTTCCTGCATCATTGAACATTTTGCCCATAAAATCCTTCAGTATTGCAATTTGAGGCTAGAAATTTTTCTTCAGTTCTTTAAGCTTGAAAAATGCTGAATGGCTTGAACAACACAAATTTATTATCTTATAGTTCTGTAGAACAGAGGTCTGAAATGTGTCTCACTGGGATAAAATCAAGATGTCAACAGGGCTGTGTTTCTTTTTGGAGGCTCTTGTGGAGAGCCTGTTTCCTTACCTTTTCCAGTTCCTAGAGACCATGCACATTCCTTGGCTAGTGGCACCCCTTCCTACATCTTCAAAGCCAGCAATGTTGCATCTCTCTGTGGCCTTCTTCCATAGTCTCTTCATCTTCTGATTGATTCTCTTCTGCCTCCCTCTTCCACTTTTAAGGGCCTTTGGATTATAGCAAGCCAACTCAGATAATGCAGAATAATCTCACCCATTTTAAGGTCACTCATTAGCAACACACAATGGCTGTGACAATATGCTCAAGAATAGCAAATATTGTGAGGATGGGTCAGGACAGGCAGTGCTTTGTTCTGTTGTACATAGTCACTATGAGTTGAAACTGATTTGACAGCACCTAACAACAACAACATATAGGTCTCTTCTTCCTAATGCTGTTAGTGGTAGTACATAGTAATAGTAGTAGTGGTAGCAGTAGTAGTAGTAGTAGTTATTGTTGTTGTAGCAGACATTGACAAAATGTTGAATCTTTTCTGTTCCACTACTTTAGGCAATTCAGAGGCAGTTGTCTGCAAATCCTTGGCAAGATCCAGAACTGATGCTTTCCATTTCCTTTTCTGGCAGGATGTGGTGAGAGACCCATTTTTGAGGGAGGAGCTCAGTATTCCAGAATCATAGAGGGGGTGGAGGCTGGGATTGGTGAGTTTCCATGGCTGGTGAGTATTCAGACAGGCAGTGAACATTTCTGTGGTGGTGCAATCCTGAACAAGTGGTGGATTCTAACTGCTGCTCATTGCTTTCCTTTTGAGGAAATATCGTAAGTACCCAAGAGTACATCCTTATTTACTGCTGTCATTGTCCAGCCCCATGCCACCCTCAGACTCCACCAGACCCCCTGGCTGAGGAGGAATCTTAGGTCTGTTCCGTCCTGATTGGGACATGAAATTCTGATGACTCCCACCCATCCACTCCAGCACTGAAGATAAGGCAGTGGGGGAGGGTCAATGAACCTGAGTTTGGGACATTCTGTTGTGCCATTTTCACTGGCACTTGGGGCCAGTAGCTATGGCTTACCTGAGATTACAAATTATTATCTCTCCAGGAACACCTGGGACTTTTTGCAGACAAAGGGTTTAGTTTAGTCAATTAGACTCTCCTAGGACATTTTTCTAGGAGAAAATTATTCTAATTCTGGGAATGTGGTTTCCTGGGCCATCAGACCCCCTATTTCCCAGCTCCTTTTATTCTCTGTATTCTAGAAGATGGTTGAACAATCCAGCATTTACTGACTACTAACCATGTGTCAGGGGCTTTGCTGAGAACATTTACTTATGTTCATTCATTTAATAATCTTATAAGGACCTTCTAGAACAGGTAGAATTAATAGCTTCATTTTATAGATAAGGAAAGAGAGGTCCAAAATGGTTGAATAACTCAGCCCTCGTACACAACTAGTAGATAGAGACAGAAGTTAAATTCTGTCTCCAGAGCTTGTGCTTTCTACTACACTACCTCAAGAAAGTTTGAAAATAAACATAGAGACTGACATTAAAGAGCTCATCAAAAAAATCTTGGGAAAGAGTTTCATCATGGCATAACCAAGGAACGTTGTATAATCCCAATTGGCTATTGGAAGATTCCTGGCCATTTTGCCTGGAGGTAGGGCCTGCATGTTGACTTATTACTGAATATCTTTTTGCTTAATGAGTGGCAGGTTTAGATAAAATTCCACCCCTGGGTCACTAAATTATTGGAAAATTAATTGATATAAAATAGATAGAATAATACATATCTGAAATCTAAGTTGGTCCGTACCAACTGGTCTTTTGTGGACTCTTCAAATTGCCTGAAGTAAAGGCAGCGTTACTTTATGAGGTAGGAGTATTTATCCGTGTCTCTAGACCTGTAATGGAACAGAGGTGTAGCTGTGTTTTTTCTGTATTAGCTATAATTTCCTCCTCTAACTTTTTCAAATTCTCACATCTTCTGAATGACAGCCCCAGTGGGACCAGTTGCAAAGGCCCCTGAAGCTACTTGGGATTTAGATTTTTTTTCTGGAACAGAAAATTCTTCTCACTTTGTGACTTTCCCTTTCCTCTCATTCCCCGCTTTTTGCTTGTTTGCCACCAGTCCAGCAGAACTGAGTACTGTGGTGGGAACCAATGACTTAACTAGTCCATATAAGGAAATCAAAGGGGTCTCCAAAATAATTCTTCACAAGGATTTTCAAAAAGTCAACATGGACAATGATGTTGCCTTGCTCCTGGTAGACTCACCCATCACCTTCAGTGACCGGATAATACCCATCTGCTTGCCCAGGCAACCTGTGCCCTCCACCTGGCACGAATGCTGGGTGGCAGGATGGGGACAGACCAACACAGGTATGTGATTCCTCAGTATCTCCAGAGTGCTGATAGGGAAAAAAGCTACATCACGGATGGCTGAGGATGGGCCATTATATCTCTAGGAGAAAGGCAGGAGGATGAAAAGGAAAGAGACTGAGGAAGGAGGGAGGAGAAAAGTACTTTGTATTGGATCGAATTCTTACATGGTACAGGCTCATAGAGAACTAATCTCAGCCTTGTCTGAATGCCAAGGAAGCATCTTCCAAAGCCTTCAGATTGAGGTGCCAGGTCAAACACAGTCCCCAGATATGGTTTTATTCCATCAGTACAGAGTAGTTCTGTTTATATAATTGAATTCAAATATCTGTTGGCAGTACATGCACTCTCCAGTTTGCCAGAGGCCCTTTCTAATGTTTATTCTCTAATATCCCCCTTGATTCACACACTGATGTTTCATACTTGACTCTTATAGGTCTAGACTTTTGACAGTCCTAGACTGTAGCCCTATAGTTCTTAGAAATTAATCTGTCCTTACTTGTTGCTTATTGTTACTTGGTCAAAGTAGGAGAAAGAATTTGGGGACAGAAAGGTATAATGAAGCCCCCAGTTGATTATCCTGAAAGAAAACCTGACAAAACCCACAGCAAATAGGTTGGGGACGGAATGGGAGCAGAATAGCAATATCTCAAGGCTGAACAAAACTCTGGCTCCATAGGGATGCTTCATAACAAGCAGAAACCTTCAAGATGGTAGGTGTTTCAAGAGCTTAACAGCCAGAGGGAAATGGGTGGAACATTGATTCTGGACTGTAGACACTTCTTAAAATGTAGAAATGGGGAAAGATACAAGTAAGGTGTCTAAAGGAGTAAATATACTTAATAAGAAGAATTATTGGGAAATCTGTGTATAATCAGAGTAAATGAGATGGAAAGAAGCCTGTAAAAATTATGGGAGTCTGGCAGACTAGACAGGCCCTAGGGCAAATTCCCTCTAAAGATTTTTAACCAACTCACTCTTGCTTGGGGTTCTGAGGTTTTTTTTTTTTTCCCACTTTTAAAAGAAAATTATTAAAACCAAAATTTCAGTGGCTTTGTGTGACAGAAGTGCCATACTCACAAAATAAAAAGTACCAATAGGCAAATGTATATGAATAGGCAAGACTGTGCTCAGAAATTGTCAATAGACAGTTTTAAGGAGAAGTCAAGTCAATAGAGCTGGTTAGAGGGAATCTGAAAGTTTTCTTGGAAGTAGGAATACGATTTTGATAGGGATAATTCAAGCAAGTGGGAGATTGTTTGGAAAAGCCTGGGATCAAGGAGCAGGCAACCTGTGCATGGGAGTAAGGGGTTGTGAAGAAGGAGAAGGAAGGCCTGGAAGGTGGGTGGGGTGACAGGTAGGATGTGGAGATGTGCAGGAATTGTTTAGCGGAGAGTCAGTTGCATTATCAGCCCTGGGACATGCTGAGTCAGAATTGATTGGACTAGAGGGCTGTGCTTTCCCACCCCCTTCTTCTTCTCTTTTTTTTTTTTTTTTTTTTAATTTTAGGTTGGGGGGAGTTGCTGAATGGTAGCTTTTCTAATGTGTTTTCTCTGCCCACCAGGTGACAAAAATTCTATGACAACTGACCTGATGAAAGTGCCAATGGTCATCATGAATTGGGAAGAATGTTCAAAAACATTTTCAAAACTTACTAAAAATATGCTGTGTGCTGGATACAAGAATGAGAGCTATGATGCCTGCCAGGTAACTAGGGGGTAACCCTCCATCACCTAACAGGCCCCCACATCATCAAAGCTGCCAGTGCAAAGGGATTCTATTTCTGCTGAGATTGGTTAAACATTTGGAAAATGTGTAGGAATCAGAGGCTTGGACCATAGGAATAGGGCTATAGATTAAAGAGGCTCTGGATATTTATCATGTGAACAATGCCTTTGGAGCACAGCTCAGCTGGGAGTGAATACGCAGCAGCAACCTTGCATAAATATTCTGTTTTTTTCCAGGTAAATAAGGCTCCAAGGATTTTATCACTTCTTGGAATTCTAAAAAAACAAAAACAAAAACAAAATAAAACCCCAGGGATGATTTGAGATCCATACAATGGATTATTTTAATTCATTCATTTAGCAACCTTTGTTGAATATCTATTGCATACTGGGCCTTGAGGATGCTGCCATACATGAGATAAGGCTCCCCTTCTATAAGAACACAGTTTTTTGGGCAGACAGTGGGCAAATGTTGTTGTTGTTGTTATGTGCCATTGAGTCAGACCCAACTCATAGCAACCCCTCCTTGGGTTTCTGAGGCAGTATCACTACAGAAGTAGATTGCCCAATCTTCCTTCCAAGGAGTGGCTGGTGGGTTTGAACTGCCAGCCTTCTGGTTAGCAGTCAAGTGCCTTAGGCACTACGCTACCAGAGCTCCTAGTGGGCAAATAAACCACCTTAATATATTGTTAATGCAGGTAGATCTTGAACTAAACAGTCCTGTATTTTAGCTTCTGTTTAATAAAAGGAACATAAAAAATTTTAAGAAGAAAACTTTTTTTATTGATGGCTAAGAAAATAGATAAAAATATAGAAATTATATTTCTCTGGCTCTAAGGGTGAATGGTGGGATTTGCCTTTAAGCTCAAAGATGCTCTCTCTTTGAAAGAAAAAGCCCTGATAAGATACCTAGTACTAGCTGAAAGTTAGGTCCCTACTCAATGGCTGGGACATGAGTCTATCTTCTCATCGGTGGAAAACTACAAATGCAAATGCGTCATTCACTGAGATGTTAAATACTGTGTACAAGAATATAAAGTCTGTCCCATGGAAGGAGTGGGTATTGATCCACAATATTCTCTATTTATTTAGTGTGAGAATATTGGTAACTTTCCCTGGTGGACTATGACAAAAGAAGGTATTGAGATGGGGAGTGGGATAGGGCCTGGGGGTAGTGACATAGAAGAGAATGGAGACGAAGCTCTGAGGTAAGGAGTGGACCACAGCAATGCCCCAGGTCTACACAGAGTCATCCGATCTGGAGAACAATGTGAGAACCAAAAAGAAAGAGAATCAATATTACATGAACCTTGTGCTTTCTTCATATTGTGGACAATTTAAAACACTGAAACAAAAAAAACAAGAGAGTTGGTCCTTCTGGTTCCAGGCAAGGAGTAGGACCATATTCCTTCCACTGTTGTTGTTGATAGGTGGTGTTGAGTTGGCCCTGACTCACAGAAACCCTATGTACAGCAGAATGAAACAGTGCCTGATCCTGTTCCAGCCCCACAATCCTTGCTATACCTGAGCTCATCGTTGCAGCCACTGTGTCAATACACCTCATTGAGGACCTTCCTCTTTTTCATTGACCCTCCCCTTAACCAAGCCTGAGATCCTTCTCCAGGGAATGGTCCCTTTTGACAACATGACCAAAATAGGTGAGACCAAATCTGGCCATTCTTGCTTCCAAGGAGCCTTGCAGCTGCACTTCTGGGACAAATTTGTTAGTTCTTCTGGCAGCCCATGGCACTTTTAGTGTTCTTCACCAACACCACAACTCAAAAGTATCTACTCTTCTTTGCTCTTCCTTATTCATTGTCCAGCTATTCCTTCCATTAAGCACAGCTGAAAACTACATTATAGTAGAAAACAAAAAGAAATTTGGAACTAGGGAGAAAAAGACAGACTTATTGGAGACCCTGAAATTTGAGGAACAACCCAGTGGTGAGTTCCCTGAGTTTTCTTTTTGCCTCCTGTGTATGCCAGACTAGATGCTGGAGAGGCCCACGACCCAGCAATGCTAATGAGCACAGACAAAACAAACAAAACCAATCCTGCTCTCTTCTGCCAAAAGAACAGGAAAAAGGTAGCCTAGTAAGACAGAAATTTTTTGACAATAAATGTTTTATTCCAGCAAAACACCATAATAATAATAATAATAATAATAAAGCAAACCCACAGTCCCTATTCCCTATCAGCAAAGGCTAGTGGAGAGCCAAGATTTCCACCTTTGTCTTGAGATAAAGAGGCACTCTTCCTCCTTTCTGTCAGTATGCTGTCAGAGGAGGACAAGTAGGGAGCCAGGATTTTTACCACCACCCAGTGGTAATAAACCATCCTCTCCCACCATGGGATCAATGGAGGTCACCTGAGGAGTCTGAATTTCGATCTCTATCCAGCAGCAAAAAGTGGGTACCCTTTTCTCCCCTGTCCCATTTTCAGAGAATGTCCATTAAAACAGAAAATTTAATGAGATCCAATTAATACCCCAAATGCCCAGAATATATCATAGCTACATGGAGAGTTGCACCAAAGTATGCAGATTCAATTTAGTGATAAAAATAGGATAGTAAAAAAATCCAGACTTCCAGTAAAATGGAGGAATAGGCAGACAAGTGACACAGACTCTCTTCAACAAAGAAAAGAAAAACCAATTGACAGAGATACAGAAGATAATCCTGGAGCCCTGAGCTTTGAAAGGAACTATACAGAAGTGGATTAGGCAACAACTAGTGGAAAAACCTGAATGAAAACAGTGAGTACAGAGATGGTTGGAGCTGCAGACTGTCAGCTACTCTGATGGGACCAACAGCCTGAACATATCCAAGTGGTGCTGGGACCTGAGAATTGACCTAAAGATCAGCCCTGGTCACCAAGGACTGCAGGAATGACTGCACTGGTGCCCAATGACTAGGAAGGGAAACAGCAAGGAGGGGGACTACCTGAGCTGTTGACTTTCTGCTCTCCAGAGGGCGCACACATTTTGATTATTTACACGCAGCAGTCATTTTGGATATTTAAAGTGACTGAGGGTGCAGCCACTTTGAATGTTTATAAGCAGTGGCCATTTGGGATATTTAAAGTGACTGAGGGCATAGTCATTTTGATGTTTACATGTGGCAGCCATTTTGGATATTTAAAGTGACCGAGGGTGCAACTATTTTGAATCTTTGTAAGTGGCAACTATTTTGGATTTTAAAGTGATAGCATTCTCATTTGGGATTCCAGGGACATAGGCTCTGTTTTCCAGGGTCGGCAGGGGAATATAAGAGGCTGACAACAGGAAAGGAGACAGGTGGTGAGTGTATAAGTGCTATCACCTAGTGAATAGAGGAGCAAACCACAGTACCTTATTTGCATAGATAACATACAAACAAAACAAAGAAAACTAAAATTGTGGGCAAGTCACTCCAACATACAATCACCAATTAAATATAAACACAAAAACATCAAAATGCCTTGGAAACAACAGAGCATCACAGTCCACACAAAGAAGCAAGATAAAGCAGGAGAAACAAGGGACTAGGACATAGACCTAAAACATATTACTGAGGAAGACACAACATTGGAACTCCCTGATAAGGAATTCAAAAGAATTATATTTAGGTATCTTCAACAAATTGAGAGACAGATCAAGGAAAACACAGAGAAAGCCCTAGAACAATTTCAAAAGACAATATAAAAACAAAAAGACAAAATAAATGAAAAATTAGAAATGATATGGAATCTACACACAGAAATCCAGAAATTTAATACTAAATTTTCAGAAATAGATAAAACATTTCATGGCCAAAGGAGCAGAACTGAATCAATGGAAGACAGAATTGGTGAGATTGAAGGCAAATACCTGAACACTTCTTTGGAAAGGGATCAATCAGAAAAAGGATCAGGACAAAATGAAGAAAGCCTAAGGTTCATGTGGAATACCATCAAAAGGAATAACCTACATGTAATTGGAATTCCAGAACAGGAAGAGACAAATAAAACCACAGAAAAAGTGGTCGAAGATTTGTTAGATGTGAATATTCCTGGTATGATGAAAGATGAGAATACATCCATTCAAAAAGCCTGATGAATCCCAAACAGGATAGACTCCAAAAGAAAATCACCAAGACATATCATCATCAAACTCACCAAAACCAAAGACAAAGAAAGAACCATGAAACAGCACAGAAAAAAATGAAAAGTTACCTAAAAGAGACAACCAATAAGACTAAGCTTGGATTTCTTGACAGAAACCATGCAGGCAAGAAGACAATGGGATGGTGTATATAAAACACTGAAAGAAAAATTTCAACCAAGAATTATGTACCCAGAGAATAGTCCTTCAAATATGATGGTAAAATTAGGACATTTCCAGATAAGCAGAAATTAAGGGAATTTGTTAAAACCAGACCAACCTTACAAGAGATGCTAACGAGAGCCCTTTGGACAGAGAAGCGACAACAGCCAACAACAACTGACCATTAACAGGCATGATGATATAACCCAGAAACCAACCCAGCTATGGAAGTATCCAAAGTAAATCAGCCTACAAGGTTGTAAATAGGGAACCAGAGACATCAATTGACAAATGAGGACAACTACAAACCAAAAAGAGGGAAAAACTGTGTCATTACAGAACTTCTAGATGGTAGGGAAGTCAAGACAGCTACAAGATAGAATGGACTGTTCTGAACTTGAGAAGAAAACTATAAATCACAGGGTAACCTCAAAGAAAATGATAAACCTTCACATCAAAATAAAAAAGAGGACCAGCACAAGTAATTAGCAAACACTAAACCAATCGCAATGAAGGAACTAATAACACGATTCATAAACAAAACTCAGCATAAAAATTATATGCAACAAATAAATCGACACCACAAAAAAGCACATAGCAAAAATGATAGCAACAAATTCATACTTGCTGATAATTACATATCAAGCAAGGGACTTATCTCTAAGATTTATAGAAAACTCCCAATGCCTCAACAGCAA